CACAAAAAAAGAAAAGCCTGTAAATAGTTCAAGCTCTGTATGTTGACCTTTAGGAGTGTTTTCTGGTTGAGTCTGATGGGGTGCCATGCCCTGATCCCAAAGTCCATTTTTGGTATTCCCTCGGGACTTCCTTTCTCTGCTCCCCTTGCTGTTCGGTTGCACACCCTTAGTGTTTTGCCTTGGTGTAATGGGGCCAGATTGGGCATAATTCCCCCACTGTGTCTCCAGTGTTGTCCCCTGTAGGGCTATGGGTCAGTGAAGGACTTCATATCTCGCAGTGTGGCAACCCATATGGTCCTCTCTGAGCATTGGCTGCTCTGAGGGGGAATATTGTCCTCCAGGCTTGGTGGGCCAGGATGCGCTCCACTCTCTCTTCCTCCCCCTTCATTCGCTCCCATGTGCTCTGATCAGACATGTCCCTCTTTCTGAGCTGTAGCTTCAGTGCTGTCCTCTGAAGTAAATTTTTCTGGCAGGAGGGGTGCCTATTCATGTAGTTGGAATTGGGGCTGGCCACTCAGACCTCTCTACTGGCTCCCTGCTTCATGTGGGTATGCTGCATTCACATCTTGGAGCACTGGACTGAAGTCTCGTCCCTCTTTCCCTGTGGAGATATAAACAGTACCCTCCCCTTGGGTGGGTTAGTGCCCTGTTCCCCCACTACCTATTTCTTTTTTCCCCTTTCTTTTGTCTCCCTCCTTTTTACTTGGCTAACATATGTACCCCTGGATTTGGTCTTCCCCCTGCCTACATGGACTTCACCACAGGAATGTATGTATGCAGTAGCTTTTTCCCTGTGGCCCTTTTGCATTTTCTTTTTTTAAGCTTACCTCAGTGGAATCATGTTGTATTTGTCCTTTTGTGTGTTGCTAACTTTGCTTAGCATAATTTCCTCCAGTTCTTTCCATGTGGTGAAGTCCCTCATGTGTTCATCACTGCTTTTTAGCGATGCGTAGTACTCCATTGTATGTATGTCCCGCAATTTAAAAAATCCATTCGTCTGTTGATGGGAAATTGGGTTGTTTCCATCTCCTTGCAATTGTGAACTGTGCCATGAAGAACACTGGAGCACAGATGTCTGGCCATGGTTTGTTTCTTGTCTCTTCTGGGCATACACCCAGTAGGGTGATTGCTGGGTTGTATGGAAGCTCAATTTCCATCTGTTTTAGATATCACCAAATCAATTTCCATAGTGGCTGTACATACCTACAGGTCCACCAGCAGTGGATGAGAGTTCCTGTCTCCCCACAAGTCTTGCAACACTTGTTGCTTTCTAATTTTTTAAAATTGGGCTACCTTTGAGAGTGTTAGGTGGTGATCTCATTGTTTTAATTTGCATTTCTTTTATGGCTAATGATCTCGAATATTTTCTCATATGTTTATTGGCCATTTGGATATCTGCCCTTGTGAAACTTCTGTCAGGTCCTTTGCCCACCTCCTCAGTGGGAAATTAGTTTTTTTCTTTTTGGAAGTTAGCAGAGTATTGTAGATTTTAGTAATAAGGCCTTTGTCTGATGTGTCATTGCTAAAGATATTTTTCCAGTCTGTGGGCTCTCTTATTACTCCTCCATGACATTTTTTATAGATAGGTTTTAGTTGCAAAAACTGAGTTGGGAATATATAAACTGCAAAGCAAACATTATGGTTTGGGGTAAATTGCATTCAATCTATCACTGGTGGATTAATGTGAAAATGCCAGGTAAGCAAATAGAAATATGTATTTAAACTCGAGGAAGGGTTCAAGACTAGAGATTTAGAGAGCTGGGTGGAGGGCAGGCGTAAATGCCTTAGGCTAAAGGAAGTGGTCTGGAGGTCTGCCATGATGTGTGAGAGAAAAGAGAAGAGAAAAAGACAAACAAAACAAAGTGAAAAACTAAGTCCACTGAGACTGTGGGGGGACAGAGAGAAGAGAGGGAAATAAAAGTAACAATATAGCTGAGCTCTGAGCCTTGCCCTGGGGCTGGAGGGGTTTAATCTCAGCCGCAAGGTATCAGCAAACTCTGACTGTGTTGAGAAAAAGCCCCTGCACTGGCTTTGGCAGAGACAGTGTGTGTGTGTGTGTGTGTGTGTGTGTGGGGGGGGCTAAGGTTAGACCCTAGCCAGGCCTCCAATGTGGTAAGCCAGAAGCCCCCAGCTCCTCAAAACCTAGTGGATCTGTGCCTACTTATCTTTATGATGCTCCTCCTGTGACCCGGAAGTATGGAATTTCCCTCTTAGTAACTCTCCTGCGCTGATTTTCTGCCAAGTCAGCTCTCCTGCGCTGATTTTCTGCCAAGTCCTTCTGGTACGTGTTACTCAGTCACTATCGTGTGTTTTCAGTCGTTAACTCCTTTAATAACTCTGTGATGGCCATTGGAGGAAAGAAGACCACAGAAGTTTCCGTAGAGTTCCAGACCAAGTTCAGAGAACTCTCTATGGATCCATCTTGAACTAAATTACCGCGACTCTATAGGATTGACACCCGCCTACCCCCTGCCCACCACCCAGGCAATTGATTCCCTAGAGGGACTCTTGCTGAACACAAACATATTGTCATGAATTAATCTTTTTATGCACTCTTCTTCTTGTATTTGGTAATGCCCAGTGACTATCATGAATTATTCAATGGCTATTTCCTCAATTTTCTTTCTAGGAAGATGGACAAGTTGAACACTTGGATTCATTCTGCCTGGGTCCAAATACTGACTCCAATATTTATTAATTGAATGGACATGGGCAAGTTGTTGAACCTTTTCAAAACTTTATATTTCCAGTTTCATAGATTTTACGATTGTATCTCTCTTTCACTTATTTAATCAATGTTTACTAATGTCCTCAATAAAATAAATTTGGTGCCTGTATAGCTATCAAGTACAAGGCCCTATTATTATAGTTGCACTTTGTTGGAACAAATACTGGCTGATCTCAAGCCAGTACTATGTTGTTCTGAAATGAGCACAACTTGATCAATTCTTCCTACATGTAATACTTAGAGATTTGGCTATTTTATCTACTAAAGATATAACGAATTTCATCTTAGTAATTTCCTTCACCCATGTGAAATGAAGATGGCATAACCTTGTTCTTGGGTAGAAGATTCTTTCTCTAATAAAGATAACCCTTTCAAAAAAAAAAAAGATAACCCTTTCTGGAAAGAGTCAGGTCACCTTCCATTGACTACAAGTTGTATATATTTTTCTCTTTTCTTAGCATTTTTGTGAGATAATGAATTTTAGAAGTGTGAATTTTTCTCTGGTCTACTTCTTGTGCTTTAAATTAAGTACACATCCTATAAATTCCATGTGAAAACTGACATTAATTTGAAGAATACTTGCTGTTTCACCTAACTTGCACAGCACTTCCAGAAATCAGGTGCAGGTTTCCTTCACCTGCTCTCCAACATGGGATTTCTGTGGTCTAAATATATTGGTCTGACCTAAAATGATGAGTATGCATTTTTAGAAATAAATGACCACCCTTTATGTTTTATAATCCATCTTTAGTCTAGATTTTCTATCCCTAAGGGAGAGAGAAACAGAAATTGTTTGAAAGAGTTTCCTTTCCCTAGAAAAGGAAAACATGGATTCAGAATAGAGGAGAACTAATAACAGAAATAAATATTTTCAAAGGATAGGAAATGTCACATAGACATTTCATTCACATAGAAATATTAGGTAAAAGGATAATGCGAGTCACAAGATGTTTTTGCAGCTATAAATTTATTTTAGATTCAGGCCTGTACAGTAATTACAATAAAAGTTATCGAGTGCTTCATTGTGGATAATTTAGAAAACCTATTTAAATGCATGAAAATTTACAAAATTTAATATCAATATAGAATAGATTATATAGAAAGAGAAGTTTTTTAGTATTCAATATTATATTTGAAATATATTTCAACAATTAAATACTTTGTAAGATGTCTGTATGGATTTAAATATTATAAATAACCTTGATATGGTTATTCTTCATGGGTATTGTGAGATATTTTTCTCGAAGTACATTACAAGAAATATTAATCTGAAGAAATGCTCTTACTACATTTCCCAAATTCTAAAGTCATATGAACAGGAAAAGGTAATTTAAGGTGGTGATAGGTTGAATTTCAGAAACATTAAGTTCTTGTATAGTACCTACTAAGTGCTTTGCAGTGCTGAGTTTAACAATTTATCTCCAGTCTAGAACTTTTTTCCCACCACTTTTAGAGCTTCTTTTACCTCCTTATTTCTCAAGCTGTAGATCAAGGGGTTCAACATGGGGATCACAATGCCATAAAATGTGGAAGCCACTTTCATATTCTCTTCATAATTATTTGAGGGAGGCTGTAAGTACATGTAAGAGAGGGTCCCATAGAAAATGGTGACTGCTGTCAGGTGTGAGGCACAGGTGGAGAAGGCTTTTTTCCTCCCTGCAGTGGAAGACATCTTTAGGATGGCACCAATGATATATACGTAGGAGAAGATGACGACCAGAACAGTGACCATCAAATTAAATCCCACAAAGACAAGGAGCAGCATGATGTTAATGTTGATACTCGAGCAAGACAGGGAGAGAAGTGGAGGAACATCACAGAAAATGTGATTGATGACATTAGACTTGCAGAATGACCTGGAAAATGTAAATCCTGTGTGTACAGAGGCATTTAGGGAGCCCATGACATATGAGCCAACAACCAGTTGGATACAAACTGCTCGAGACATAACTATGGGGTAGCGAAGTGGGTTACAGATGGCTACGTACCGGTCCAGTGCCATAGCAGCTAAGAGATAACAGTCATTGGTTGCAAATGTTGCATAAACCAATAGTTGTATTACACACCCCACGAATGATATTGACTTATTTTCTACTAGGAAGTTTTGCAGCATCTTAGGTGTAATGGCAGAGGTATAACAGAGATCAACAAAAGCCAAATGTTGCAGGAAAAAGTACATGGGTGTTTGAAGCCTGGAATCTGTGTTGATGAGTAGGATCATTCCAATATTGCCCACCATGGAGGTCACATAGATCACAAGAAATACAATGAAGAGAGCATACCGGAACTTGTGTTGACCACCAAATCCCAGTAGAAAGAATTCTGTAACGCCAGTGCCATTTCCTTGTGTCATGGCTACTAAAAATCTGGGAAGAAGCAGGAAAATAATGAAAAAAAAAGAAAAAAAAAAAAGAAAGGAAACCATTGTAACATCGGATAACATGTAGCTTTTCTAAAACCAATATTGTTTCTTAGTCATTTGTAATTTTAATCATAGTCCAAGCCATTGAAAGTTAAAAGCAAAATATATTGTTTTCTTAATTTTTATGACGTGTCTTAGTTCTTCAGACATAGTTCTATCATAGTAAATGAGTGCTATTAAACTTTGTGCCCTGTGCCTAATCCCCATAGTTTTACTTAAACAGGATTCAGTCATTTAAGTTTTTTAATATGCATAAGTGAGCATCCCATGTATTTTAGTCTAAAAAGCTTTCCCATACTGGACGGTTAAATATAAGGTCAGCAGTTCAAAACCGTTAGCTATCTGCAGGAGAAAGACAGGTTTTTCTACTCCTGTAAAGATTTACAGTCTCAAAAATGCAGGCCCTGAGCAGTTTTACCCTGTCCTATAGGGTCGATATGAGTTGGCATATACTCACGGCAGTGAATTGAATTTTATTATTAGAATTACCAAAGGACTCATGGAGGGTATTTACATTATTTCTCAAAAAGATGATAATCCTGCCACTACAGTAGAACATGAGATTTCTCATTTCTCTCTCTCTCTCTCTCTCTCTCTCTCTATATATATATATATATATATATATATATTTGCCCTCAATATTTGCCCTCATGAAAGGATAATTGTAGATATGGATGCTACAGAAGAGTAGTGAAGAAATCAGATGGTACCCAGCTATGCTATCAGGGGATGAATGTCTGATGTCTTTAAAGCTTGTATTAAAATAAATAGCCATCTAAGTGAGGTGCCACCTAAGGTCACATGGAAGAAGCACATCAGCCTATGTGGTCCAAGGATTGTAAACAATAGAATTTGAGATCAGGGGAGGGAACTGTATTAGAGCTTAAATTCTGAGTACTCCATTTGCAGAAAGCTATGGATGACAGTGAAAGCCCAATCCATTTGCAGAAACCCCATTTGGATTAGTCCTCCATTGAATTCCCTTGAATCATTGAGCAGGGATGTGAAAAGCCTTGCCTTAGAATGCATCAGAAAGTGAATTAAAGCAGATATATTTAGTTCAGAATTTAACATGTTGTCATGTTTCTGTTTTTTACCTTTTTCACTTGTGCTAGTTTTTATTATTTTCTGTCTTTTTTAATGGATCGAGGTTTTTCTGTGTTTCAGTTGGTTATTGTTGCTATGGTTTTTATGGTATAATTATCTTTATATGAAATTCAGAATAGGTAAATATGAAAAGACAGTAACTAATTAATACTCTCTTAGGGTTATGAACATAGAGGTTTTTGGGAAAAAGGAAGCTAATACCAGTGAGTCCAAAATGAGGAAACTTTTCTTAGTTGATGATTACACAACTCTTCAATATATTAAAGCTATTTAATTGTATTTTAGGTGACTACATGTCCATAAAATTGCTTGGAAAATGAAGTCATTTGATAGAGTGGAAAAAATCAGAAATAAAACAGATGGCTCATGAGTAAATAAACTGGTGTAGATAAGAATAGAGACTTAAGTGACAGTAAAAACGAATTCATTAGAACCACAGTTCTAAATTGAAATATATTTTTTAACTTAATGTAAATTGGATGAAGGCATATAGAGTAGATCAATTTCCCTTTCAACTATTGATATATATGTATTTCCCACCATCACTGAATGCAATCTCTACAGTATAACACCCCTTATCCCACTTGTGCTGTTTGCTGTGTCCATTCCTCCTTGGTTCTTAGCCTTCTGAACTTGGTCCTTAGGTAAATGGTGACCTTTGAATTTTAGATAGTTAGCTATTCTAAGGGGTGCAAACCTCCCTAGTGTTACTGTTCCCCTTAGACACTATTAATCCAAATCTTAAAATCATCATGTTGAGAAAAAGAATTTATCGACAGGTCAACAATGAAAATCGTTTTTCTTGGTGTTTTGGTTTTTAGGCCTGTCTGGGGCTATTTGGGGAGCTGATTAAAACATTGCATTGGATAAATGGCATCAGCTCTAGTTTCTTAAATATGACTTTCCCCCTACATGTTTTTCTCTGAAGTTATGCTTATTTATTAATTTATCATCCTAGTTTTAAATGTGAGAATAATTCAGACTCATCAATTACAGGATAAGACAAAAATGGTAAGAAGTATTTGAAAAAGAATTAGGTATTACAGGACTCCCAAACGAAGCTGTCTGTGGTCTCATCTTGGTGAGCTGGTTATTCATTGAGCTATAAAGCCAGTGGTTTGAATCCACCAGCCACTCTGCAGCCTTTACAATATTTAAGGATTGGGAAACTCACCGGAGCAGCTCTTCTCTCCTCTATCAGGTCACTGTGGGTTAGAGTTCATTAGATGGCAGCAGGTTTTCCTTTTTGGTATGGGAGGAGTGCGATATATACAGACCGGACGTTGTATACTGCAAAGCCAAAACACAGCTTGAGAAGAATGGAAAATAAAGAAAGACATTGAAACAGCACATATATAGGAAGTGTGAGGACAACTTAGAGTATTGAAAATGAAGACTTCTTAGTATTTTCATAAATATTTTAGAGATATAAATTTTCCTTCAAATTGTGCAGTAAACATTTCAAAATACACTTTAATAGAAAGAAGTCAGTGGGTATTTCATGTTAAGTTTTTCAGAGGTGAGAGTGACTCCACACTTCATTATAAGAAAAATTCTAACTTTTCTTCTAAGCGTTTCTGTGCACAGGTGCAGAAGTTGTCCCATCTTATATAACGAGGCTGGTCTATTTTAATTTTAATAAAGAGCTTGAACTCTGGCAGACCTGTTTGGTGTTTCAGAATTTAAATGGATGTTTATTGTACCAAACTCACTCCCAGTCAGTTTATTACAATTCATAATAACCCTATAGGGAAGAGTGGGATTTCTTCTATCAGCTTCAGAGGTTGTAAATCGTTATAAGCAGGAAGACTCATCTTTCTCTTACAGAGTGGATAGTGAGCTCGATTCGCTGACCTTGTGGTTATCAGTCAAACACACAATGCAGTATGCCATCAGGGCTCCTTATTTATTGTACAGTAACTCTTATTTCTGGCTCCCCTTAAGATAGCAATATGGAACTGCCTGCTATTCAATTCCTAATAAAGGTGAAGTGATACTTGAGAAAATTCCAAGTTCATATAATTTGTGTTGTTAAAATATATGTTTGCATCAAAGGACACCATGTGAAGAATAAATTGACCTAAATATTTGCTACAATACAGACTACTTTAAATAAAACTAGTGCACTTTTCCTGTTTCTGCTTATCTAACACTACATTAATATATCCTGATTTCTTTTGGGTGAGCAGAGTCAAGAGTGGTATGTGGCATACACGCTATAGCTCCAAGATTAGAGTGAGTAGGGGGAAGCTGGTGCCCTTTTTGGAATCTGTGGGTCAAATACATCCAGAAACAAGTCTAACCTTTTAGGCACTAAATGTGTGTTGCCTAGTGTTAATAGTAGAATATTGAAGATTCAATTACATTGATGATATTTGACATTCATAGCAATTTAGGGGTTAATAATGCTTGTTTCTATTCAATATGCCTTCTTGTAACTGTTAAATATTTCTTAAAAATATTTTAACCCCTCATATTTCCTAGAAAGCACATTTTACAGACACACTCTCTCTAGCATTGAACATACTTCCATTTGGGGCTAAGTTTTAGCTCCCAAGTTGTATGCATGTAGGGACTAACTATGTCCCATGAAAAAAATCTTCATATTAAATTTTGAGATTTGTATTCTTTTCCTAGTTTTAGAGCAGCATCAGTTCAATAGAGAAAAGAAGCCAATGAAATTGATTTGTTCATACAGCCAAGGAGGGTACGAGTCCTCTGGAGTAGGTCCTGAACTATTTTTATCAGGAATATTGAAACACATATGCATATACCCAAGCAGTCCACATTGAAAGACTACATTCATTTGACTCTATGAGTTCAAGGCCGTTGGACATCTGAAATCATCCCCCAAGTCAACCAGCCTTAAAATAATACAGTCGTCATTAAATCAAAGCCACACTTCTGCTACAAGGTATTATATAAATCAGGTATTACCATTTCTGGGGTTAGAAAGTTCCAATAGATTCAAATAAAAGTTGAATGTCATGTATGTTGAAAGTTAAGTGCAGAGACTAATGGCCTATTATGGTAAACTCCACCCACAGTTCTCAGAATATTGAGGTGGATTCTCTGATGAAAGGCACAGAGTTAGTAGTGGCTAGAAGAGGGTGCAAATAAAATTCCTGTTCTCCTTTTAGGGAACGAGCTCTTCTGGTAGGTGGTCTAGAAACCTTTCCTGAGACAAGCAGCTTTACATTTGCTTTTAGGAATATATTTGGGGTTGTACCAGGTGGAGATTGGCAAGGGAAGGCAACAAGCAAAAGCAGGTAGATGGTATCCCATAAGCTGATAGTAAGAGTCAAGAGACTCATTTATATACAATTAAATCAGTGTTACTCTAATTAGAAGCAGTTTTTACATCCAAGCATTACTGACTCTTCCTATACCCCTCTTAGAGATCTTAAGTAAAGCAAACAGAATGAGGACATGACATCTCTAAGACCCATGATTTGACTCAAAAAGACGTTTTTGAATATCAATAGCCATTTGTTAGGTGCTGCAGACCCTAAGCACTTCCCACTCACCCAGGCAGCAGGTCCTACTACTCTTGTTCTACTTTGGGTTTTCTGAAAGTGAGTGTTGCAAAGCAGCAAAGATAAAATTCCTGGAGCATTTCTCTGATGTGTAGGGTTAGAGTTTTCTTCCACACACTACAGAATGTGTGTCTGCTTAGACCAACAACAACAGAATGCAGCAAGAGTTATTCTGGAGAAGAGGCTCTTTAAATCTGAACATCCTTTTCTACACCTACTGTCAACTGATGGCTCCCGAGGGATATTTTGACATTGGCATAATTGGGTGTTACCTTGAGGGGTGTGGTT